GGGGGGGGGGGGGAGGATCTGCACTGGAATGAGGGCCTTAATTGTGCTTGAGGGGGCTTTTAAAACAACACGATAAAAAACACGTTATAAATAGAAATGATACTTTATCATCCGTATTCGACGATAAACAAGAAACAAGTTTTGAATCTGTCCTATTTTTAGAAACGTTAGAAATATCTTGTTTAATATGAACTTTTCCTTACATATTTTTTAGAACAAGAACATTATTTACTTATTATAACATTTAGCTTTTGACAATCATACCAATCTTTTTAAAGTATCGAACTTCACTTCGTTCAACACTTCAACCGTATGTTTTATTATTTATATCGTGTTTTTTATCGTGTTTTTTTGAAAGCCCCCTCATTCCAGTGCAGATCCCCCCCCCCTGACGGATTGTTTTCAAACGAGGAGGCCAGGTTGCTGTGCCGCTCTCGTGGCAACGATCGTGGGATTAGCGGCTCTTTCGAAAATGGAATTTTGGAATTTGGACAAACAAGGTTCGTCTTGTGTCACGAGAATTGCTGCAATGGTGAACAAACCAAGTTCTTTCGAAAGAAGAACGCTCGTACTATTAGGCGATGTGAAATTTATTGCTGTGCAACGATTCTGAGGCGAGATATTGGACTCGATGTCGGAGGGTATATCAGATAAGTGGCTAGCCTTGTAGTTATTTATGTCCTATGTACCAGGTGATCTCGTGTTCGTATTTTAGCCAATCAGCGCTCAGAAAGGGTTGTCCGAATAGAAATCCATTTTGATGTATTTAGGCCGTGAGATGAGGGTCGAAAATATGCTTAGAAAACAGATTCCGTAGCACCCCTCGTGTAACTACATAATTTTTACATGAATCTATAGATTATAACTTACTTAGGTAGAATCCACTTCCCCCCAAGCGAAATAGTTGCACAAATTGAAGTACAAGCTCTTCAAAGTTCACCCTTCCTCGTGTTTCGGAATCATAAACCGCCATTGTTGTGTTGCAAATACGCATGCGCTTGAGCACAAAACACGTAATGCGCACGCGCAGATAAGAAAAACTGATCTCAATCTAGGACTGGACAAAAAAAATTATGAAATGTGCGAGAACAGGGCTGAAGTCAAACAAGATGACATCGGAATATTTTTAAAATATATGATTTTTTATGTTCTGTGCATTTTAATGAAGTTTACAAACATTTTGAGCAATGTACCGTATCGAGCCCTCGCCAGGAACACTTCCAAGCCTGTTGGCTTGGAATAATCAGTAATTACAATAACCAGTAACTTATTTAAAATATGATGTTATTTTATACTACAGCAATTGCATAACGTTTGCAAGCGAATCTGTTTTTCAGGCTTTAAATATTATCAGAATCCTAAACATTCTATAACATGCATACCGTAATTTCTCTATCCAATTTATTAGGGGAGAAGGGGGAGGGGGTTTAATTCTAATATATACAACTGTTTTGCACGTTTGATTCTCTTTAAATATGCAACATCGGGTATTGTGATTATCAGTAAAATATCATAATTATCTTTCAAATACAATACTTTCATGTTTCACGATTTTATACATTAATTAATTGGTTGCAGGAGAAAGGGGTGGGGAGTAGGGATGGGGGGTGCTAAACAGAGAAATTACGATATACCATATATATGACTGAGTATTACAACGTGCTCACAATCTTATTTATTTTCTAAATCTTTCCCTGTCAATGTTATTAGTCCAGGTTCGTTGTTTATTATTTCTTTTGCATTTAATCCATTATTAATAAGAATGAACGGAGGTTCACTGGTTCAGGCTCTACGCTGACTGGAACTTCATTACGCACTCGGTTTTTGTACCAACCAATTTCGTATTGAAACACTCGTGTTACGTTGTTGATCATGCACGCCTTTATCACGAACGCCTTTTCGCCAATCCAATATATTTGTGCAATCATCGTGATCAGTTTTTCAAAACAAAAACAAAGGAGAAGGAAATAGCTTAGTAGATTTTAGGAGGTATTGTTATGCAACAGCATTGCGTGACGTTTGCAATCTAATTATAATAACTTGCGCATAAGACGCGTGCATACCAAGAGAAAGGGAGTTTTGTCTTATCTATTTAGCATTAACAGCTTTAAATTTCCACAACACACTGTCCATTCTCACTCAAGTAAATTTAAATATGTTATCCAACAGCATTAAGACGCAAATCGGAACAAGACCAACAGATTACCCGAGACTAAGTAGTTTTCTCTTTATCAAAACATCACTTGTCTCCAAAATGTCCAGAGAAACGTACCAATGCAGGATTTTTGGTCAGGGGGAAGCAAAAACGTAGTTGGGCCATGTTTCACTTCTTTTTATAGAATAAATTTTCTCAGGGGGCACCAAAATTTTACCAGGAGGGCGGGTCCCCAGAGCCCCAACATGGCTACGCTAAAGGCGTACATGAACAACGAAATACGAGTGTTTGAGGATTGGCTGATACAAAAAGAGAGTCATAATGAGGTTCCAGTCAGCGTAACTCAGAATTGGTACGTCGGCCCTTGAGGCAAAGTGTTAACCTCCGTTCTTTGACTTAATAATGGATTAGACGCAAAGCCAATAAACAACCAACCTAGACTAATAAAATTAATTGACGGGAAAAGATTTAGAGAATAAATAAGATTGTGAATACCGAGTAACACGTAGTTTATGGTATATAGTCATTTCTTTGTTTAGCACCACTTCTTCCCCACCCCCGGCCCTCTCCTGTAAGCAATTAATGTATAAAATTGTGGATTGAAATTGTATTTGAAATTTGAAAGATAATTATGATATTTTACGGAAAATCACAGTACTCGATGTTGCATATTTAAAGAGAATAAAACGTGCAAACAGATTCTTTGTGTATATTAGAAATACCTCCCTCCTTCCCCCCCTCCCCCCAAAAAAATGATAAATTACGGTATGAGTTCTAGAACGTTTACAGGACCGTACGCAGAATGTTTTCACCAGCTGGGGACAGTAAGGCCTATATGCCGAAAAACGTCACAAATATTCAATGAATAATTAATAATGATATTCTAAAAATTGTAAATATAGTTTTCTCTACTTAGGAGGGGGGAAGTTGGCTCCCCCCCCTGCCTCCCCGCTGTGTACAGCCCAACCTCGTACCCAGGGCCTGCGGCCTTGAATGTTTAGGATTGTGATAATATTTAAAACCTGAAAAACAAATTTGTTTGCAAACGTTATACACTTGCTGTAGTATAAAATAACATCATATTTTAATTAATATTTTAAATAAGTTATTATTGTAATGTTGGCTTGGAAGTGTTCCTGGCGAGGGCTCGACACGGTACATTGCTCAGAATGTTTGGTAAACTAAAAATATCATATATTTTAAAAATATTCCGATGTTATCTTGTTTTACTTCAGCCCTGTTTTCGCACATTTCATAATTTTTTTCTTGTCCAGTCCTAGATTGAGATCAGTTTTTCTTATCTGCGCGTGCGCATTACGTGTTTTGTGCTCAAGCGCATGCGTATTTGCAACACAACAATGGCGGTTCATGGATTCTGAAACACGAGGAAGCGTGAACTTTGAAGAGCTTGTACTTCAATTTGTGCAACTATTTCGCTTGGGGGGAAGTGGATTCTAACTAAGTAAGTTATAATCTATAGATTCATGTAAAAATTATGTAGTTACACGAGGGGTGCTACGGAATTGAACACTTTCGACCCTCATCCAACGGCCTAATTCAGTCAATTATATCTTTTGTTATTCTTTATTAAACTAGTTGAAATTTTGTAATTATGTTTGGTTATGAGAACTATAGCTCTGAAAAAAATATGGAATCGAAATAAAGTATATTACAGGAGATATTCAGTTGTTTTAATCATAAAATGGATTTCTATTTGACAACTAGTGCCAGTACTTTTCCGCGTATCAAGATCACCTGGTAGCCAGTGCCCAGGCATTAAAATACGGAATTTTTACAAGCCAGGACACACTTTGCCTTCAGAGGCGTATTTTTGGTATAAATGGCGAAGCCACAAGTTTAGCGTCAAAGACGCGAGCTCTTACGGGGGTCGCTGAAATGGCATTTCCAGAGTTCTGAGAACAGAATTTGCAAAATCTTTGGCCATTTTGCGTGGATTACATTAATACATTAGTTCAGTTTAATATATTTTCAAGTGCACACTTTTCAATTTACAAGGGCACATTCGCCTTTTACAAGGACACAAAGTGTGTACAAAGACACGCTATTTAGCCTATTTTAATGCCTGCCAGTGCCAGTACCGACGACCGTTCAAGTACGACGAAAACGTAAAGCAATCGCATCAACTAAACTCAGAAACACAACAAATGCATTCTATTAACAAGTTAGTCCTTTATAGATATATTTTTTACATATACTGCTAATATTTTTTTGAATTATTTCGTTATTAAATATTATAACGGTTAAATATTCCGTATAAATATTCAAAATATATAGACCATTCGGAGATTGGGCCGCTTGTGGAAGACCTAGCAAAATTCGCATAATCAACATGGCGGTGTATTTTCGTGAATTGGATTAATCTTTACTATTGTATTAAAATGTAACGAAATGCTTATAAAACACGTATTATATTTAAATTTTGTATTTTGTCTCGTCGATAAACCTTTCAGGACACCACTGGCACTGATAATTTGTTGGCTTGTTCACACAAAGACTGTGTCGACCGAAATGATTTGTTCAAAAATATTAACCAGCATTTCTCGACACAGCATTTAAAACCATACACTGGAAATAATGGTAAGGTTAATGGAACAGAACATTTCACTTGCTAATGAAAGGACCGTGCGATGAATTGATTTTTAGAAAGTATTTTGCAGTATCAATACAAATATATTTGTCTTATTATTAAATACCAAAGGTTTGACATATACCAGATTTAAGTTTTATTAGTTAAATATATGGTGCCCGACTATCAGTATCAAGCTAACTGAAAAGTCAAATTGAGCAGGATACTCATATGCCAATTAAATTTCATGTTATATACCCAATATATTTTGTTGACAAGTAAAATTATTTGGCAATAAACAAAGTAAAGTACGAGGATGAGAAAATGAGAAAAGGTGTTTTGCCCAGATTCAACTTGCTTTATTATTTACTCTGTCTAATGCCAGACAATTTTACTCATCAGTGGTAGGGTACTGCCTAAAACTTATGTAAGAATAAAAAAATCTTATCAAAATGAATCGCAGTGGTTTTGTGTTAATGGGGGGGGGGGGGGGGGGGGGGTAGTGATAGGGGGCTTGACGACCTTATTCATTTGTGTTAGAGGCTTGACTAGAGAGAGTACCTTTTTTTGTTTTTCAGTATGACTGTGGTGTACTATCACTTTTTTATCAACATTAATTTTTCTTGTCATATGCTAATAAAATTAATTTTATTTTAATATAACTATTACTATATGCACATACACTTATCATGCATTTCTTTGTTTACCGGCACAATAGTCATTCAATTGTCATTCAAGCCAATGAAGATCAACTTCAATGACCTTCCTTGATCCACGGATCCTGACCTCAATGTTTTAAAATACTACTTCATTTCAAATCCATGATTTTGGATTCTCATAATACTATATTGCTAGTAAACTGAAAACAAATTTATTCTATATGTGATATGGGGCCATTCCCAAAATACATAATGCTTGTGGGGATGGAGGGGTGTTTGATCAGGAGTCGCAGAGTGTCACAAGGGGTTGGGGGGGGGGTATCACAGGAGAAAATTTATCCCCTGTCTATAAAAAAAAGAAGACCTTGCTTGCAAATATATTGCCCTTAGAAGACAAATCAATGTTTTCTACCAAAATATATTGCCTGAGTGGGAAAGAACCTGAATGGAAAGCCCAAGGTTAAGGCATTGAAATAGTGTCTTGTACATACAGTACATTTTTTTGCATAACTTTATTGGGGTAAATAAACGTCTTGTTTACAAATCAACTGCACTAATGATCGGCGTCCCCAGGGGTTGATCACCAGGAGGGGGGATATCGATTTGTTACTTTTTGTACAAAAATAATATCCCTCCAGGTAGGAAAATTGTTTGCATTTGGCCAGGGAGCATTTGTAATTTACCTAGAGGGGGTGTGATTTTGAGAGGGCTCACAATTTGGGGGACTATCAAAAATTACCTGAATATTAGGCAGGGAATCTTCAACAAAAACTTTCCCTTAGTTTTCATTTTTGTTGCCATGCAAAGTTGCAAACCGTTCATACTCTAAGGATTTATGACTGAAGTTGTTATTCTCTGGTTGTTATTAATAGATATGAAAGTTCAATGTTCAAGAATATTTGACATTTATAATGCATGTCAGAATTTATTATTCATATTGATAAGAAACCAATACTAATTAAAGGTCAATAGATTTTTGGAAGGGGGGGGGGACAGGGAGTCGACAATTCACCATCTGTTGTTTACAATCATATGGGGGGGGGGCGCAACGAATGTGATCAACAAAAGTGGAGGGTGTCCAGAAAATTTAAATCTAAAAACCGTCATAGCCCTCCCCCTCCTGTAAGTAAATTATAAATGCCCCTAACAGGCACAGTTTACCCCCAGGATTAACCAAAAGGATATCAACATTCACACAGTAGTGCCTATTTAATTGTTCACCTTTCTGCTACATACAGTATTTTCTATGGAGTTAACCAATTGTATTGTATAATATAATGTTTCTGTTTAGTGTTAGATATGTTATGTTTCCATATTAATATTGC